CTAACCATATTGGGCCACCTTGTCGACTCCCCTGGTCTGTACGTCCTGATCACGATAAAGTGCGAGCTGTGCGAAACTTCCCCATTTCGACCCGCACTAAGGAAGTCCGCAGCTTTCTCGGTCTGTGCTCGTACTTTCGACATTTTGTGAACAACTTTGTAGAAGTAGCCTGTCCCCTCACAAACTTACTGAAAAGAGATGTCTCATTCACATGAGGTGCTGCGCAGGTTACGGCACTCTCTACACTTATTACATTGCTAACAGAACCACCTGTTCTGGCTCATTTTGACGTTGCTGCCCCTACAGAAGTCCACACCGATGCCAGTGGCCACGGAATTGGTGCTGTTTTGATGCAGCATCAAAGCGGCTGCGCCTGCGTTATCGCATATGCCAGCAGTCTCGTCTCGCAAGCGGAAAGGAAGTACTCGATCACCGAAAGGGAATGCATTACTCTCATTTGGGCGGTAGCAAAATTTCGGCCCCATTTACATGGTTGACATTTCACCTTCACAACCGATCACCACACACTTTGCTGGCTCGAATCCTTGAAGGACCCCACTGGGCGCCTTGGTCGATGGGCACTACGACTCCAAGGGTATAACTACTCGGTGTCTTACAAATCTGGCCGTTTACACCATGATGCTGACTGCTTATCTCAGAATCCAGTGGACCCACTTGAGGTGTTCGATGAAGGGTCATGTGTGCTGTCTCCGCTTTAAGCAACATCCTTGAGGAACAGCGCCGAGATCCTGTCTTAGGTAACATTATCGAGAAGGTTTATTCTGCGGCACCCGACCCATCTACTCGATTGTTCGCGCTCAAGGATGGCACATTGTACCGTTACAACATCCACCCTGATAGACACGAACTGCTCCTTGTGGTACCTTCTCGTTTACGTGCGAGCGTGATCGGCCAGCTCCACGACGCTCCCACTGCCGCTCAACTCGGACGTATGACCATGTACAGCGTCGATTTTACTGGCCCAGTCTTTATCGCTTGGTCCACAGCTACGTTGCCCCAAGCAACTAGTGTCAACGTCGAAAAAAACCTATGAGTCCTGCCGGGTTCCTCCAACCGCTTGTCATTCCCTTCTTTCAACTTGGTCTTGACCTCCTAAGCCCTTTCCCTGTGTCCATTTCTGGGAATAAGTGAATAGCTGTCGCGACAGATCACACAACTTGCTACGCCATTGCACGAGCTCTACCAACCAGCTGTGCCACGGACATTACTGATTTTCTCCTGCACGACGTCATACTTCATCATGGCGCCCCACGCCAACTCCTGAGAGATCGTGGGTGCTATTTCCTTTCCCGAGTTATCGACGACCTGCTTCGCTCCTGCGAGACAAAACAAATTTACAACAGCCTACCTTCCGCAAACTAACGGATTAACTGAACGATTCAGCCAGACTAACTGATATGCTCGCTATATACGTATCGTTTCAACCACTAGGACTGGGACCTTGCATTGCCCTTCGCTACGTTTGCCTATAATTTTTCACGCCATGATGCAACTGGTTTCCCCCTTTCTATCTCGTGTTTGGTGGGCATCCAACTTTACCGTTTGACACCATCCTTCCGACAGCCGTCGACTCGACGACCGAATACACCCGCGATGCTATCACCAGAGCTCGCAATGCACAATAAGTTGCCCGTCAGCGCCTTTTAGCATCGCAAGATCAGCAGCGAAAGCTTTACAACTCCCATCATCTCCAAGTTTCCTTTACTCCGGTTTCTCTTGTGCTATTGTGGACTCCAACTAGGCGCATTAGACCTTCTGAAAAACTGCTTTCCCGCTACTCGGGACCGTACTGCGTATTGCGGCGAGTGACAGATGTGACCTACAAGATAGAACCGCTCGAGTCTTCCTCCTCCTCCCCTTCACTGTCTACAGAAATTGTTCATGTATGTCGCCTTAAGCTGTACCCCTCGGCAACATCATAGAAAGCACCGAGACGGTGCTTCAGCACAGGGGTTATGTTATGAGACAATGTCCCACTAAAGGGGTTAGATAGGGGCCAAAGAAGACTACATGATTTTGGTGTATGGCACAGCTCTTGTTCTCCATCTTGGCTTGCGCATTGGCGCTGTGTAAATATATCTTTAAACGCCTAGTTTTTCGTGTGCCTTCACATAACAATATTTAGCGCAATTTCGTAATATTTTGCTTAATAAAAAAGTTACACCACAGTCACCTTCCATCTACATGCTTCACATAACATCTATTCTCATGGTACATGAGATCTGCCGAATTTTTTTTTTTTTTTTTTTTTTTTTTTTTTTTTTTTTTTGCTTGATGCAGCTGCAGACCTGCAAATCTGTTTTTGTTGTGTCCGCAGTCGCAGTCCTTTCTGTGCGATATACTTTGTGGTTATGTTACCTTGTAATATTTTTGTTTCGATAATTAATTTCTCTATTTGCAGTACAAGCGCTAGCTGCTTTCAAATAAAGATTGTCTCACCATGCTCACAATTATACATACTGCACATGTCTTTTTATTTATTTGCATACACACAGCAATCATATGAATGAGTTAACATTTTGCCTGTATGTATTAAGAACTAGAAGAAATCCAAGTAGTTAATGTTACTTGGTGGCATTAGAACATAAGTCTGATAAAGTAGCAAATACTAAATTATTCTTTAGCTTTTGAAGGAGGTTATATTGTCGGGTAAAAGCCGGGTAAGGAAAGTTATGAACGTATGTGATAGATAAGCTTTAAGAGAGAGAATAAAACATTTATTTGCGACCGAGGAAGCAGTGTCAGTGAGTGGGCTCCTTAGTCCGGGATCCCATTGGCACGGGTCGCCGTCCTCGCTCGTCTCACAAGGGCCTTTTGACGTGGCCATGACTTGACGCTTCACTGTTGTGCACATACATTACGGTGCATTTGTATTTGGACTAAAGTAACTATAGTTAGCCAAGAGATGAAATCGGAACGTAATAGGCTTTTCAGTTTCTGAGCTTCGGTTTATCTGAAGACCCAGCGACTTCAGCGGTCAGTGCATCAAGTCAAGATAATGTGCCTGCTTTTGTTGGAGTTTGTCCCTTCGGCAAGGTCCAAATATACTTGCACTTCAAAGATGCAGTCAATGTGCAAGCTTGTGTAGGAGACTACTGAAGTTGAATCAATTTATAATGACCACTTTATTGACATCGTAGCAAATGCTACAGACAAGCAGCTCTCGCAAGAATAATTTGGTCACATCTAGCTGTACATAACCTGTACTGCCACGCACACATGCATGAGCACTCTTCATATATATTTGTAAGGTGCTGGCCAGAGAACACCTATACCGGCTCTTTCGAAAAGTGCCAGTCGCCGACGAAATTTGGCATAAACGCAGCCGATAAGCGCGGCGCCACAGCAAAACTTGTCCTGCCCCACCAAGCCATTTCACTCTCAGCGCGTCCTATTATTTCCGTGCGGTGCGCCTCAGAAGTTGAGTGGCGGTTGTGCCACTCAACCTTTCTAGTACACTCTAGTATATGTGTCTGCGAGGCTTGTGTTGCCTGGTGTTGAGAAAGCCAACGGCTCAAAAGTGAATACGACAACGTAAATAAATAAAGCTTCTGTAAAACAAAACTTTTATAGGCAGATCTCATTCAGGCGAATCATATTCTAAAATAGAAGTCCACTCACCTCTACCTCATAACCCAATTGGCAAAAAAAACAAAAAAAAACTGACGATCAGCAGTGGCAAAGTGAACGCTGACTCTGTCATCAATCAGCCTGCCAAGTTTAGCATCCGTTTGTTACTCTTTATGCTTCGTAAAATTGTACATCAATGCAGAAGTCTCTAAGTTTAAATAGAATTCGTTTCTGGTAAGAAATGAATAGCTGACTACGTGCTCTTTCATCAATTAATCAACCATTTTGACGCAAGGAAGGCGTAGAAGCCTGACAAGTGTTCGAGGTGTACGGGCTCTACGTGAGCGATACAAATGCGAGTAAAGTTGCTCACACATCCCGGCGTTCCCATGTGTCCAACAGCTCGCAGCCCCACTTAGGTAAGAGTAGGAAACTATGCAAAACGTCATCAATGGCCATCTTGAATGGTAAGTAAGATGAAATAGCGATATGTGATTACATGGGATTTGAAAGAAAGGTAGTCAGTGGAATATGCACAAGACAAAACTATAGCTTTTTCTTCATAATTCACATACAGCAGTTTTTTTTTTTTTCTTTGTGTGAGTGTTGCAGCATGCGTTAAATCCTGGTGTGCATGCGCCATTGGCCACATGACACACCGGATTGTTTACAATAAGTCCGATTAAAGTAGGGCACGATGAGGAATTTCAACTTTGTTATTCAACTCCGTTATCTGCCAAAAGTCAAATGGATAGAGTGATATTATGAGGCACTGCGTTCGGGTACGGCTGACAGCACTTCGTAACAGTGTTTTCTATTTGACAAATGGGACGAAAATAACTGGGTGAGTAGTAGACTAAGGAAAGTTTTATCAATCCTTGGAAGCAGTTTAGGGCAGGAGACATTACAGAGAGCTCTGTTACCTCAGGAGCACTTTATGGTGGTAGACTTTAGTTAAACGCATTTGCCTGCTTGCTTTTATTCAAAGCACCGTGCTCAGCCGAGTGCCTCTCATGAAAGCCATTTTGGTGCCACGCGCTTGTTCTCCTCTATAGTGTCTGCTCTGTACTGCGCCCCACCTTTTGCATTCGAAATTAATATTTCCCAACTGTGGCTGTTTGCTACAATCCACTAAACCAATGGGGGCTGCGTTGGCTCTTAAGCGATATTCTACGCTCCGCTGCTTGATAGTCACTTGTCGGTCACGCATTTGTTTGTCCCATTCATTAGCCACCTCCAAGATGTTACCATGAAAGTAAGCGTAAAGGTATGGACAAACAAGGAATCAAGCAAGACGTGTTGCGCAGCCAAGGAGGGTGGCGCAACTTGTCAAACTCGGCGAATGAAACTAGCCGTAAGGTGAAGCGAATGCAAGCGACCGGACTAGGAGTAAAAAGAAACCAACACACCTGCACCACGGAAAGGAGAACGCTGCACCACGGAAAGGAAAACGGTTTTAGCTGGCCATCCGACGACTACGAAAGCTCACGAAACAAACCGATGGGATAGCATTATTTTCCACCTCCAGTAGGGTGCCCTAGCTCCAGAAACGAACAGTCACCACATTTATCATTTTAACCATCATAGATGGCACCACTTTTCAATGCAGCGACACCGCAGAAAACAACTAGTAAAGCAAATCCATATTGTCGTTTTGAAGTATACGCTAAAAAAGGGCATAAACAAAACTACATAATGTTATTTGCAGACAGTGTCGTAATAAGTATATTTCAACTTTGCGGTGTATTTTAACTTCATCTAGGGACCTTATTTTAACTATGGTTGTAGCGCCACCTAAGTAGGGGGTGTCTTCAAATAAGTTTGGCAGCTCCTGTGGCTCCAATGGTAGGTGGCTCCGTGTTTGGCAGCGTTAGGGTGGCTAGCCAGCCACCCTAGCAGCGTCTCATTCCAGCGTCTCATTCCAGCCACCCTAGCAGCGTCTCAACTGGTAGGTGTTCTGTGGCATCTTCTGCACCGCGCGGCGAAGCAGCCAGCCCCACCACAGAGGCCCCACACCGAAGTGGCTTCTGCGCCGCACGAAAGGGACGTCACTACAATAATTATTACTTAAAGCTAGTTAAATGTGTAAATCATTCATGTGTAACGCGTTAAACCTACAATAATTTTACTAAAAATGTGCTTAACGAGTCAATCAACCTAGATTTGTTAATTAAACACGTATTACAAGTACTTTAAATACAAGGGGCGCTATTGGCGCTGCGGCTGCAAAAGGTAAACAGTGCGAGATGGTAGCTGCCTGCTATGTGTGTTGGTGGTGAGAAGAAGAGAGATAAAGATGCAAAGAAAGGCAGGGAGGTTAACCAGACGCACATCCGGTTTGCTACCCTGCACTGGGGAAAGGATGAAGGGGAGAAAAGACGTTGCCGTGTTGGTGGTGAAAACTCCGACCAAGTCGTGGCCTGGCCGCCCCCAAGGAGGACCAGAGACCCTGTGTCGTCGCTGCTTCATGTGATTGCTGTATGCCCAGTTGAACCTGGTGGTTGGAGCTAGCGCGGCCGTCCACCGCGCCGCAGCTTCATCTGAGTGTGTGCGCCATAGAATTTCTCAGTATGACATGCGGTATATTGTTGGACGTACTGAATTCTCTAGATTGCAATTATGCCAAGCGCGGTGATGTCAAAGGTGAAAGTGTTCTTGCTGCCGAGCTTCGCTTGTCGCAAATAGCAAGGTTCACGTGTGACTGACCGGACGCACATACATGAAACACCAGTGCGTCGCCGAAGTGTTTATACTATCGATGAAAACAACTGTGTTGTAGTGTTCATACTATAGAGTACAAGAAAAAGTGGAGTGCCCGGACCGAGCTCCGAAAAGTGAAGCCAAAAAGGGTCGATCCGATTGTGGCGCTGCGATTGGTAGTGTGTAATATATTGTTGTTTTAAGAGCCACGCACAGATCCACCGAATTGGTTGAGGGGTAGAATGCTTAATTCCCTCAAAAAAAAAAAAAAAAAAAACCCAGGTTGACATCCCAGATAAAGACAATAAATTTTTCTTAAATTTTTTGCAGAGTTGTATTGGTTGTTTTTTTTTTTTCATCTGGCTTCAATTGCTACATATTGCTACGAAAAATCCCACTAAATATGAAGTAAAAGAATTGACAGCGAGGGTGGATAGATGTGGCTGGACCCTTTAGAACGGGCGGCGGCTAACGCCACCTAGCCGTAATAATTAGTGAACTAACCATAAGATTTATCCTTTTTTTTTCTTTAAATAGTGAGGTTGAGGATTCGTACTTTGCAGGAAAGGATTTAATTTTCACCCATGCCTTGACTATAGCCACGAATCAGATAACCTTTTTCTAGTTAAGTCTACCCGCTTAAAGTCTGTTTTGCCCTCCCAGTCCCTAAACCCCACTTTGAAAAACTCTGCGCCATCATCCTGAACTATAGGGTGAAGCCCTTTACAGAACATTATCAAGTACTTGTTCGGCAGTTTCTTCTTCCTCTCCACACGCACTGCATAATGTGTCTACCCCTTCGTATTTGGCCCGATATGTCTTGGTTCGCAGTACCCCTGTCCTGGCCTCAAACAGTAGAAAACTACCCCGAGTATTATCATAGATCATTTCCTTGGCAATCTCCTGCTTAAAAGTTTGATACATCTCTAGTGCGGACTTCTTAATCATGCCCATTCTCCACATGTCAGTCTCCGTTTCCTTCACTTTCTTCTTAACCGATAGTTCTTTTTGGTTTGGCCACATGCTGTTTTCTAAGTATTTACCAGTCAATTTCCTGGTTCGCTTCCTCCATTTTGTATCGACATTATTCATGTACAAGTAGCCTAAAACCTTCCTAGACCAACGCTCCTCCCCCATTTCTCTCAATCGCTTCTCCAGTTTTATCTTGCTGCTAGCTTCCCTGCCCTCAATTAATGTCCATCCCATATCACCTTGTGCTCCCCGATTTGATGTATTCCCGTGAGCTCCAAAAGCAAGCCTACCTATTCCACGTTGCTTAATTTCTAATCTTGCATGAGCTTCTGATCTCATGCACAAGACCTCATTGTCTAATGTCAGCCCAGCAACCATGACCCCTTTCCATATTCCTCTCACAACATCATACTTATTGCAATTCCACAGTGCCCTATTTTTCATCACTGCTGCATTTCTGTTACATTTAGTCGTCACGTAAATATCGTGTTCCCTTTGGTACTCGGTCCCATTGCTTATCCATACGCCCACATATTTGTATTTATCCGTTATCTCTAGCGTGACCTCCTGTATTCTAAGCTCACTACCTTCGTTATCATTGAAAATCATGACTACTGATTTTTCCTAACTGAATCTAAAATCTAACCTAACTCCCTCATTACTGCAGATGCCCATCAATCTCAGTAAATCTTCCTTGTTGTCGGCCATTAGCACTATATTGCCACGACATAGTGCCTGCATTCAAACAACGCGCCCATCACCACGCGCACGGATGGATGGATGGATGGATGTGGCCGTACCCTTTAGATCGGGCGGCGGCTAACGCCACCTAGCCGTGATACTTAGTGAACTAACCATTACATTTATCTTTTTTTTTCCTTTAAATAATGAAGTTGAGGATTCGTACTTCGCAGTGAAGGGTTTAATTTTCACTCGTGCCTTGACTTTAGCCACCAATCAGATAACCTCCTTCTAGTTAAGTCTACCCGCTTAAAGTCTATTTTGCCCTCGCTGTCCCTAAATCCCAGTGCTTTGAAAAACTCTGCGCCATCATCCTGAACTATAGGGTGAAGCCCTTTACAGAACATTATCAAGTGTTCAGCAGTTTCTTCTTCCTCTCCACACGCACTGCATACTGTGTCGACCCCTTCGTATTTGGCCCGATATGTCTTTGTTCGCAATACTCCCGTCCTGGCCTCAAACAGTAAAGAACTACCCCGAGTATTATCATAGATCCTTTCCTTGGCAATTTCCTGCTTAAAAGTTCGATAGATCTCTAGTGCGGACTTCTTAATCATGCCCATTCTCCACATGTCAGTCTCCGTTTCCTTCACTTTTTTCTTAACCGATAGTTCCTTTTGGTTTAGCCACCTGCTGTTTTCTAAGTATTTACCAGTCAACTTCCTGGTTCACTTCCTCCATTTTGTATCGACATTCTTCATGTACAAGTAGCTGAAAACCTTCCTAGCCCAACGCTCTTCCCCCATTTCTCTCAATTGCTTCTCAAATTTTATCTTGCTGCTAGCTTCCCTGCCCTCAAATGATGTCCATCCCATATCACCTTGTACTCCCTGATTTGGTGTATTCCCGTGAGCTCCTAAAGCAAGCCTACCTATTCCACGTTGCTTAATTTCTAATCTTGCTTGAACTTCTGATCTCATGCACAAGACCGCATTGCTGAACGTCAGCCCAGGAACCATGACCCCTTTCCATATTCCTCTCACAACATCATACCTATTGTAATTCCACAGTGCCCTATTTTTCATGACTGCTGCATTTCTGTTACCTTTAGTCGTCACGTATATTTCGTGTTCCCTCAGATACTCGGTCCCATTGCTTATCCATACGCCCAAATATTTGTATTTATCTGTTATCTCTAGCGTGACCTCCTGTATTCTAAGCTCACTACCTTCGTTGTCATTGAAAATCATGACTGCTGATTTTTCCCTACTGAATCTAAAATCTAACCTATCTCCCTCATTACCGCAGATGTCCATCAAACTCTGCAAATCTTCCTTGTTGTTGGCCATTAGCACTATATCATCTGCGTACATTAATGCTGGTAGTGCCTGATCAATAAGTTTTCCTTGTTTGACTAAAGAGAGGTTGAAGCCCAGTCCACTTCCCTCTAATTTTGCCTCTAATCCTTGTAGGTACATCATGAATAATAAAGGTGACAGGGGGCACCCCTGCCTAAGCCCCCGTTTTACCTCTGCAGGCTTGGATACCTGTTTTTCCCACTTTATAACTACCTTGTTACCTTTATAGACACCCTTTAAAAGATTAGTGACACGCCTAGTGTGTCCGGTATTCCCCACAATTCCTCTTGAGCCACGCTATCGTACGCTCCCTTGATATCCAAAAATGCTAGCCACAGGGGCCTGTGTTCTTTTCTGCTATTTCGATGCACTGCGTCAGTGAGAACAGATTGTCTTCCAACCTCCTGTGTTTCCGAAACCCATTCTGCAGTTCCCCCAGCACCCCCTCATCCTCTATCCACGCCTGCAGTCTTTCCTTTATAATCTGCATCGCCAGCCTGTAGACCACTGATGTCACTGTTATAGGACGGTAGTTGTTTATGTCAGCTTTGTCCCCCTTTCCTTTATAGATCATGCTCATCCTGCTAAGTTTCCATCCATCGGGAACTTCACCATCAATTATTATTGTACTCACTGCCTCTCTCAGAGCCTGCTTAGACTTCGGACCTAATGTCTTTATCAGCCTAATTGGAATGCCATCTGGGCCTGTTGATGTACAACTAGGAACCCTTTTCTCAGCCTTTTCCCACTCTTGTTGTGAAAATGGAGCCATTGCACCACTTGATTCGTCTTTGTCTATTGTGGTGCATCAAATACTTCTTTGTTGAAATTTTTCTGTCACCCTTGTTCTTATATATTCAATAGCTTCGTCC